TGTGCCTGTGCTACACCGTCGCGTCGGCACAGCGGGGCGCCGCGGCCAACCACCCCAAGCCTAGGGTGTCGTTCCTGTTCCCTTCCCAGGGCGCTGTGAGCGTTCCTTTGTCGGTGAACGAGTCGATCATCAGGTTCGACGCCGACATGTCCGCGGATGGGCAGTCGCTGCTGCCCGCGGGCCGGACGTTCCTCAACACCACCGAGGAAGCCTTCTGGCGCGGCCGCAGGGAGCTTGTCATCCCGATCCATCTGCGCCAGAACCGCACGTACGCGATCGCCCTCAATGGCGACTGCCGCGGCTGCAAGAACTTCAGAAGCGTGTCGGGCGTCCCGCTGGACCCCATCCTGTGGAGCTTCTCGACTTGGGCGGAGGGGGAACCGTGGGCCAGCCCTCAGGCACAGTCGTCAGCCTCCCATCGGCTGCTGCGGCTGGTGCTGGAGATGTACGCGTATCGAGACCGGCTAGGCTTGGACTGGCGTGCGCGGTGGCAGCGCCACAGGGGGGATTTGTCCGGGTCCAAAACGGGGGTGGAGTTCGCGGAGGAGGCGGCGGAGTTTCTGTCCGTCGCGAGGGACGGGAACGTGTTCTTGGACGTGGGCGGCGACCGGGTGGCCAGCCACGTCCCGCGCGCGCCGCCTAACGTGAACATGTCCCTGTTGCGGGACATCGTGGCCGACTGGCGGCAGCCCAATAGGCATGTGGCATTGGGGAGGTTCGGCACGTCTGTGAGGTACATCTCGGTGCGCTGCTGGGAGGGGGGTGTAGGAGATTACGCCCCTGTGGCCGAGGCGCTGGAGTCGACCTGGCGGTGGCCCAAGATCATGTTGGACGTGCGGGAGAGCGGCAACGGCAACGAGTCGCGCGCCCTGGAAATCGCCGCCCACTTCGTCAACCGCAGCGTGGCCTACGCGAGGCACAGGAGGCTGGACGCCTCTGCCGACGGCGGGTTTGGGCCCGTGGAGGAGCGCGTGCTGGAGCCCAAAGAGAACGGGTCGATGTACGACGCTAGGCTCGCAGTGCTCATGGGCCCGGCGAACATGGGCGCTGGCGAGTCGTTCTTGCTGATGATGCGAGCAGCGGGGGCGACGCTGATTGGCGGGACGTCGTACGGCAACTCGGGGCACCCCAGGGGGCACGCGCTGGGCAATGGGGTGGCGGTATTTTTGCCGTCGAGGCAGGAGTTGCTGCCCAATGGGGAGCTGCTGGAGGGGCGGGGCATAGACCCGGATGTGAGGGTCGAGTGGGAGCCGGGCCAGGGGGAGGACCCCGTTGTGAAGGCAGCGCTGGAGAGGTTATGACATTTGGGCTGAAGCTGCGGTGGCCAGGCAGACCGGTTGGAGATCGATATGCAAGCGGTTTGTACTGATATCGGTGGCTGTGCCTGGAGCCGGGTGGGCACGGTTAGGTGTAGTTGGATGTGCTTGACTGCGGTCGGAGACGGTTGGGGAGTGGGAATAAAGTACTGGCCAAACTGCGAACGATCTGCATTGCTGGGGGAATGCAGTGGCGGGGCTCATCGCACAAAGGCCTTCAGGGCAGTGTGCAGAGAAGGCGGCAGTGGGGCAGCATAGCAACGATTTTGGACGGGCCCCGCATCCAGCCCTTGTATTTTGGTGACGGTAGAGTGCAATCGAAATGAAGTGATGGATGTCATTCGACCATGTGTGTATAGTACGGGGGGAGTGTCCTCCTCCCATAGTATGACGTAGACAGGGGATCAGGTCGCGTCCCTAACAGCACTGCATACGATTGGACAATAGGAGCGAAGGAGTTTCAGGTCATTAAGACAAGAAGCTAGCAAGAATGAGGGTTGGAATGGGGCGGGGTATGAGTGCGGGGGATCCAATCAGTTAAGGCGCCGAAAATCTCTATGCCGTCGTGTCATTGCGTGGCAGTGGGTGTTTTCGCAAGGGTCATGGGGCTGATGGGACATACTGTTAATAGTAGCAGAACTGGGCCTGTAGATGGTTGCTCTGTCAGAGGAAATTTTGTGTCTCGTGATGCCCGCCTAGCGAACTGAGATTTGTAAGACCCAAGTACTGACTCGATTTTCCCGGTCCACATTGTGCATACATGCGCATCATGGCACCACGCAGGGCGTGCACCATGCCTCGTTTGAACTTTGTGTTGGGCGGCCTTCTTTCAATCGCTACTGCCGCGATACTAACGCACATGCCGCATCACAAGCCAGTGATCGACGGCAGTACAATTGGAAACGAGACTATCAAATGCAATCAGCTCAATAGCGGCGAAGACTGCAGAAGCAGTGCTGGCGGGCTGGGCATAACATCCGCACATTGGGGTTTCTCCACCACATCTGCCTGGCCGCCAATTGGAGGCCAGGCAGACAATAGCACTGGAATAGGTCGACGTTGTTCAATTCCCGTATATGAAGGGAGTGAAGTTGGCGCCCACGCGGTCCCCACCAACGCCAGCGCAATCAGTCTGGATTCAGTCGATTCTGGAACAAATAGACGTGTTGCTGGATTTGGCCGTCTTCTCCATGCACGGGGTTTTCAATGGCCGAAAACGAAGGTGATGGGCTCAATTTCAGGCAGTTGAAACCACTTTGAAAGTATGCAATTTGTCGGGAGTCTCGATACAGATGGATCGCCAATGTCAAAAGGTGGCGCATGGGCAGCGTTGGGAAGCCGCATTGATGGACAACTGTAGAATCGTCCCTCGATTCCAACAAATATGTTGGAACTGACACGGCATTTACCAGTGGCCACCAATAGTTTTCAAAATGCTATTTAATCCGCCGGACCAACGGCTACAATTGTAGCCGTCACAGGTTGCAACCTGTGAACTGCTCCAGGTGGGCCCGTGGACTGCAGGGTGCGCCACCTGGAAAGGAGTTGCCTGTGTACATGGCGGCGCGGGAGAGATGATGCCAAAGGTCCGCAACACGGCGGAGAAGCACCACGCACATCTCACCAGCTCAAATATGTGTGGAATACACACTTGCTTTGCGGCAGTGTATTTGCTCGTGCATGCGAACCCCGGTTCTGCAATCTGGCTTGTATCATCCAAAATTAGCTTGCTAAACATGTGTTCTAAATCCCTTTTCAAAGCTAATGCTCTGCCCCTTGTCAGCAACTTGCTGGAACCAACAGAAGCTTACGCTTGAAATCGGGCTTGAAGTTGACACCCTTAAGGGAGCTACCAAGCTTGGTAGCTCTGGCAGCTGATAACTGCCAAAGTACAAGAGATTCCGAGAAGGCCGCGAGGATTTCACTGAATCTTAGGAAGTTGAAAACTGCTCACTATTATGAAGTTTGGCGCTGTGTACCGCCTGGGTCTGGCTGCCAAACGCTCTTTCGCTGTTTCAAACCTGTAACGCGCGATGTCACACGTCCTTTTGGACACAGGTATTTGCTGGTTTTGTGTTGCGCTTTTGTCACGATGCGCTCGGGGAACTCCCCATGGTCTCGGTAGTGGAAAAGAAATTCAGCACCATGCTCAGCGCGGGGGTGTCCAACTTGCGCCTTCCTTTCTTCCTTCCTTCCTTCCTTTGGCCGATATTTTGGGCACCAATGCACAGCAAGCTCGAAAGACAACTGTCCACAAGATCTATCAAGTTTCCAGAGATGAGCCCCATTCTTCACAGGTAGAACACTCGCCCTGCTGGGGTATGTCAGTGTCCTGTGCAGGAAATGTGCTGCAGACTGGTTGCAAGGGCACCGACGGGTGATAACCTGGGCACAATGGTGCGGGGCCGTATTCCAACTGGAGTCCTTGCATGGCACACTTTGGCCACCTCGCCCTGCGATAGATTGCCATACATGCTACCTGTCTACTTTCCTGATTCATTAACCCATTTATTGGTTGAATTCGTTCGTGATTGAGCAAAACTTGCTTGGTTCATTGTTTCGTTTCCTGATCTTCCCGTTTCAGATGGCCTAATTATCTGTTTATTTCAATTGCTGCTTACCTTGCTGCCTGAATGCTTGGTTGCGCAATGAACTTCTTGTTTGCCTACCCATTTGATTTCTGCAGGCTGTTACTGAGGTGTATTGTATGACTGCCTGAATATTACTTGGCCAAGTAGATTGCTTGCATGCTACATTGTTGGAATTGAAATGCCCGTTGGAAGCAATTTGCCGGTTTACCTTCTGTTTGCCTCTTTGTTCCACTGCTTGATAGATAGCATGATAACCTGTTTGTCAGGCGGTCGGATGTCACGCTCGTGTATAGTCGTGGAAGAGGAATAAGAATCAAAATAACTGAATGATTTAGAAATCAACTAACTGCTGAAGTGATTACAACAACAAAGTGGAATGGACACGCACACAGCGCCACAACGGCAGTGCCTATCGCCACTTCTGTGGAGGCGAATACATAAAAATCGCCAGACAGCGCATCTTGTATGCGTGAGAGGCGGCCGACGGTGAATGGAATCTACTCTTATTTTTCACAAAGATTGTCCAGCAATATTTGATCTATCCTTTACTCGAGTAAGGCACCGCTGACATCCGGTTGCACGATGGTCCACTGCACGAAACTGTCGAAACGTCGCGACGGTAGTATCAGCTGCTACCGCTGCTTCCAGTGGCCTCTAAGGGCTGCTGCCAGCAGCTTCTCACTGCAATGAGACGTAGCAGGCCTCCAGTACTCTGGCCAAACATGGGACAAATAGCCTACGCTGGCATACCAGCGCCATGCCATCCACCATACTTGGTGCCGCTGTCCCTCCCACACATTCCGCTTCATTCCTGGCTGCAATTGGGGGCGCCTGTTTTCGCACAATGCAGAGCACCACAAATACTTTCTGAGGCGGGGGCGCGACCACCCTGCAGATTAGTGGGTCCTCACAGCGAAGGACAGCAAAAAACCACATGAACTCCTGCTAGGGTTGGGTGGCACCAGGGATCTTCATGTATTGTTACATTTTACAATCAAAACCATAAGAACACGTCAGGGTTGAATCAGCACCTTTCCACAAGTTGGGCACGACATCCAGGCGTCCAAGCAGCACAACATTCCTTTCTTGAGAGTCATTTCTGTTGCTCCTCCTCCCTTTCCCTCAGCCATTTGGGACTGTACTCCAATTCCACCGCGTTGATTTTGCTGGCGACGACAAAGTCCCGGAGCGACACCCCGCGGATTGGGTGCGTCGACAATGAGACTTCCACGAGGCGTTTATCCCTCAGCTGCAAGTCAGGGTGGTGTCCTTCTTCCTCGGCAATGTCGGCAACGGCTTCAAAGAATTTCATGGCTGTGGTCCAGGACACAACGTGGATCAGAGAGCTTGTGAGCTCCCGTTGATTAGGTGCATCGAAGTATGAAAAATCGGCACCCTTTTTACCGTTTGGGCCATTTAGGCGCTGTTTATGTTCATGCGCCAACAAACAATTTTGACTTTGCTCCCGTCCATGCAGTCCAAGTATCCAGAACATGGGCGGGGTAAGCAGAGGGCAATCTGGTGTTTGTGTCGTAGGTGGCACAAGAAGCACCTCGGCAGTCCATCCAGCAAACCAAGCCTTTTTCATGCGTTTCCACCCTGCCGAAGCATGTGCGACCTCCTCATGATTTCTCGAAAGACGTGAGCTGTTGTTCGCTTTACAATTCACCAGCAGCGCATTGTGCACAAAGCAATGCAAAGGAGGATGTCTGTTCTACATGGGTGGCTCCCCCTAGGCATGCTGCACAGGGTCCCACTATTGGGCATGGAGGAGTGGGTTATCTCACGGTAGCAGAATTGAAACTATTCAAATTGGTTTGACAGGAATGGACCACACCACAGGATCAAGTGAAGCATTGGCGGTGATTACCTAGCAGCCGTGCGACGTTTGTGTGTACATTATTGAATAAATCCCATTGTACAATTGTTGAAGGACGCATTGCTGCCAGCAAACAAGTCAAAGCAGCAGTACTTGGGTGCCTTGGCAGTGCACCCTTGTGGCTCGCATGCCTGTTGCAGTTGACAATCAGTGATCCTCCAAGAAAACAAGAAACGAAAAAAAGTAAAAGGATAAAAGGAATGCTTTGGGAGGGGACTTGTTCCCCATTCTTTGCCTTCCTGCTGGCCTGCATCACCCTTCAGCACCTTTAGCGTGAGCAATCCATAGTTGTGGTACGTGATGTGTTCGTGGAAATCTGTATGCAAAGATCTGCACACCAGCTCGCTTGCAAAACGAACAAGCCTGGAAATTGAAGTGGCCACTAATTGCCCCCTGCACAGAGCGGATGGCCTCCACTCCCAAAGCATAGGCCACCATGTACGACCACATTCCGCAGTGTGCGACAAAGCACAGCCTCTGCACCTTTCAGAGTGGTTACCACCCCTTACAGGGAAAGGGGGGAATTGTGAGAGCAGGGGGTGTGCAGTGCCTCTGCCTGGGCTGCACTTACAGGCCATTTCACAGGCATATCCAACTGCTCCAGAGGTGCGTTTGGTGCGTATTACCGTTAATGTTGGCAGGCAATAGGCCACCAGATCACCTGTGGTGAAGTTCTTTGCAACGAGAAACCTCTTGAGGCAACTGCGGTCCTCGCTCATGGCCCACTCAGGCACTGCAGCCAGCATGCCCGGGAGGTCCTCCTCGGGCATTGCAGGGGTGTCCCTATCAGGAAAAAGTTCGAATGAACCCAATCAATTCGCCAAGCAAGTCGAAAAAAATAGAGTCAAATGATCAACCCTATCAGGAAAAAGTTCGAATGAACCCAATCAATTCGCCAAGCAAGTCGAAAAAAATAGAGTCAAATGATCAACGGAGAAGGATGGTGAGATGTGTGTGGCGGGCTGTGTATTTGGGTGGGTTGCTGATGGAGGCTGGCGCAGCGTGGAGTTGCCTTTTTTGGACACCGACATGGTGCATTTCAACAGCTTGGTTCTGAACTGAAGGGAACCAACATGCTTCGAGGATCTCGGATGCTTATTTTCACTGACCAGAGGAAACAAGATCTTACTGGCGGTACTGACCACAAGCAACAAGATTCATGTCATGCCAGCTCTGGCGGTCGCAATCCTCAGTTTTGGGACGGTCGTCTGCTTGATCGAGTCAAGAAAAAGGGCAGCAGTTGAATGCTCCTCGCTTCCCCTCCGTTCCGACGCTATGGACTATGGGATGGCATCCAACTTGCCAACCGAACGCGGCGAAGAGACCCCGCAGCAAAAAGCACGAGGCAACAAGAACATCATCAGGAACATTGCTTCCCCGCGCCCCAAAGGCAAAAAAGCAATGGACTCGTCGCTGCCGAAAGGGACTCGAGTGTGCTGATGCACATCGGTTCCAACAACGCGCACCCACCACGCGCCATGGCCACTGCGTCGCTGTCGCCCTGCTGCAAAGGATACATTCGTTCGGCGCTGCGGGAGAACTCACTTGCTGCACTTTCCCACGCACGTCATGGCCCGAAGGTCGGCCGCGCCGGGCGCATCGACGAGGGAATTCATGCCGATGGGATTCGGACACAGAGCAGAAAGAGGATGAGGAGAGTGCGCGCAGAAGTGCCGAGCCTCACAGCGACTGAGCCTCGCAGCGCGGCCCCCTGCCGCAGGAAACTCGTCCCCTGAAGGGGGCGCCCTGGCCCCCTCCTGGTGGCCTTCCACAGGGGGCCCCCGCCAACCGGGCTCACCCACCCAGGCCCCGGGACACCGCGCCCTAAGTACTGACCTTGCACAAAGTACTGTCAATACTGCTGACGCTTGCAATGTACGAACGCAGCTGCGCGTGTACGGCACCCCCAAATTTCGCACCCCAAGGGCCCGCCCGCTTATCTGGCGCCCAGCCCCCTTCCTCCTGGGCACTTGCCACGCCGCGGCCTGTGCGCACTGTTTAGCACCGCCCCGAGGGCAGACCGCGAGTCGCGCCACCAGCCACAGGCGCCGCGCGGAGCAGGAGCCTCGATCCCGACCTCGACGCGACGATCCGAGCGCGCAAGAACTTTTTGGAGGCACAGGCCGGGGAGATTCGGTTGGGCGCGTTTTGGCGCCCGGGATTGAGACCCGGCGGGGTGGAGCGTGGAACGGAGGATTCTCAATCGAGGTGAGGCACGTTGGGGTGGTGGGGCGGCACAGGCCCCTCGATCGGCATGGCTTTTGCGGGTTTGGGGAGGCGAGGGGAGGGCCGATAGGGCGCCGCCGTTTGGGGCGCTTCGGAATGGCATCTGGGGATCGACGCCCGGCGTTTTGAGGCCCAGGGAGCTAGGGGCCCTCGGAAGGGGTGGGGCGTGGCGGTACGCGCGTGGCGGGGCGCGATCTTGGCGAGCCACGGGGGAGGCGGAATTTTTCGTCGAGAGTAGTTGCCCCGAAGACGAGATGGGGCGGTGGGCCAGCCAGGCGATGCCGGGTACTTGAGACTGCCATGGCGTTTGTTTGCAAAAGGGGAATGTTTTTTCGGCGACCTGTATTGCCTCGATTGAGCACTGGCGGCTGGGGGGCAAGGGTGTCGGGAGAGGACGCGGGCGCTGGCCTGGCCTCCCGCGTGCGCAATTGTGGACGCAGCGGGAATTGGACGCTATGCTCGTCTCGAACATGCCCGCGGTTTGGATCTGTTGTCGTTCCGACGTTCGATCGTGGGATGGATTGAGGCACGGCCTAAGACCTGCATCATGCCAATCCCTGCTTGCGTGGAGCTGCGGCGTCGAGCGTGCGTTGGAGGGAGTGCGACCGACCCTTTTCGTTTCGTGGGAGGGAGAGAAGAAATCCGTTTCTTCAGACATTTTCAATCAAGGCAACACGTTGCCCTTCCACCTCAAGGCGATCGTGGGGACAGTTCCATCCGATCAACTTCTCTGGCCCTACTGTTGGATTCTGTAGGCCATTTGGGCATGGGGCCGCAGATGGGGGGTTGGTCACAGCGGTGTCCACTGGTGCCATGGGCATCTGCAGTTTGTCACTGCGGAGCTGCTATGCCTCCAGTGCGTGCCTGACTGTTGCTCTTGCTGACGTCTGCAATAGTGGACAGAGGACAAACAAGCACTTTGGATGTGCAAGTACCCATCAATGTTTTCAGCATGCAAGGTCACTGTCCTGCAATGCAATAGCAAATAACTACTTTCAGTTGTGAAGAAAGCTATACATCAGCACAAACAGTACATTTTGTTGCGATTTTTTTAAGCTAGTGCCACTGTTTTGGTTCAAATGACGTTGACCTCCTTGTGCGCAGGAGTCATCAGCCGGGCCTAAGAGCTAATGACATGAAGCATCCTTCTTCACAGGGTGTGTTGGGCAGGAAGTTTTCAACAGGTTCAACCCTTGTGGAGGCGCATAGCGGTGCAGGTGCAGTGCAATTCATGCAAGAGCCAACTAGGCGCTTGTGTTAGCAGAATTTTATTTGGCTGTAACTGTTGAACTGAATTAAACCTCATGTAAATTTCAGTATTTGGAAGTTCCATTCCTCAAATTTCATACTCGAATTGAATTGACAAGTGTGGAGCACTACAGAATTCCAGTCATGAGTCACATTCTGTCTCAGCAGGGTGCTCAATGACAAGAGGTACTGCATAGTTCGATCTGGTCCATCAATGTGCACTTGCCAAACATACTCAACGTGAGACATGAAAAATGCCCATCAGTGGCCCACTGACTGTTTTTTTTTGGCCCAATGTGCTGGCCAAATTTTGTTATTTCAGGCAGTTTGTTATCATGCGCTGTGTTTCAACAGAGTAAATTGCTTGAAATCATGTGTCTGTGGTATATGTTGTCTTCTGTGCTTTTTCACCAGTGAGGGAAGATTTTGGGGCCTTGCCCAATGGTTTCCAGAGATGGCACCATTCAGATGGCCGAGCAGGTACCGACGCTTTCTGGCCGCATGACCACAAGCACCAAGCTTGCAATATGGCGCCACAGTGCCAACAAGGACGGCTAGCAATGGAGCCTGCCTGGGGTGGGGGCAGCAGGTTCCCCAAGGGTAAATGCAACCCATGCAGTCACCAGTGGAATGGCCATGGATTGCAGCCACAGGAGGGGCCTGTGCTGGTGAGCAAGCTCCCATGTCTCCATCTGCCCCAATTTGTTACAAACAGCAACTATTTGGTTTGTGACTTTACAGCAAGTGAACAACAGGAACGAATGTGTCCACTGCAGCTACTTGATCAGCAGCACAAGGGATCTGCCGTGTGTGCTCCCAAGCTCAGGTCATTGGACAGCATGAGCTGGGTGGCAGGCATGAATGTTAGCTGGGTATTGTTATAATGGGTGTATCGGCTGTTGGGGCGTTGTTTGCGTTGCCCTGTACGCAAATGTTATTGACGAAAACCACAAATCACAGCTGGCTTGTCACACATCTTTGTGTCACTCCAAAGCCCACACTGTCCAAATTGTTCCAAGTCGTGCTCATGGCCTTTGCTGTGTATATTGCCATGCTTAAGTGTTCTTTTTCTTCTTTTTCTTTCCTTCTCCCTTCCTTACTTTCGTTCTTTCCTCTGTTCTTTTCTCTTTCTGCTTCTGTTGAGTTGCACCTTGTGCCACTGAGCAGGGGACCAGGCCCTGGGATATGTATCCCACAAGCTTGAAGCCTATTGGGAACCATGAAGATTTGGGGCCACTGCAGAGCGTCCGTGCCACAGGACCTTTGCCTGTGGAGGGCTTCTGCAATCCCCACGATGCTGCACACCTCCCACGCACTGACTTCTGCCATTTGAAAGATGCCATGGATCGAAACAGGAGCAGCGCACTTGCGGAGCTGCAAGGAATCATGGAAGAGATTGAGAGACTGAAGAGTGGCGACCTCGGAGATGTGCAAACAAAGACCACCGATGGTCGTAGCTACGACTGTCCCAAATTCGCCAGACCTGATGAATGCGATGGTCAACTTCCTCAGCATGGTCAAGATGGCAAGCCTGACTGTGGCATGATGTATAAGGCACCCCTGTGCGATGCCATTTGTCTTGATGACTGCAAAGGCACCAAAGCGCCCAATTTTGACACGGACAACTTGTCCAAGTGCATTTGCCCCCATGAGGGGCAGCCTGCCACCGCCTTGGGCCCCAAGGTCCCAAGGGGGGATATGGTGTCGGCTGTGCGATCGCTCACCGCACGTGTGCTGGGGGACATTAGAAAAGGTGACTATTTGCAGCAGAGGATGTGGAAGGTGTGTGATGGGAAGCCACCACCAGGAGCGATGGTGAACAGTGACAAGGAGGGTGATAACAGGGCTTACACCATTCCGATTGAGGGCTTGCCAGAGGAGGGAGGCCAGGTGCAAAAAGGGTGGGTGATTTCTGCCGGTACTTGGGGGCCTTGTTTTCAATGATGTCTTTTGTGACGATTTTTTCTGTTGACTGCTGGTATCAACAATAGCATATCGATATATAACACAACATAAACATAAATGAATCACATGGATATTGTTCTGTTTGATTGGGGCCATGTTTCCAGCGCTGAACAGTAGGTTTTGCCACTAGGTGTTGGTTAGCTGCTGTCTCCTGGCAAAACACCATGGTAATGAACTGTTAGGAGCTTGTGGCATACACTGAAAACCCTTCATAGTCGTGTAGATAAGTGTCTGAACCCATAAATATTAACATTTGCGCAATAGAAAGCATGCAGCAGATCACCTGTGTGTGTGGGCGTTTGGTGAAGAGGTTTTTATGTTGTGAAAAGGTGTACCACTGAACAACATGCTCAGGGCCTTCAGCAAACTCAAAAAGAAGGAAGACAGAGCAGACAGGTGAGACAGCCGATTGCTCAGCCACCCTGCAGCCAACGCATTCCCCACGGCGACTGCCATCTGCTCACGCTGCTCAGTGTTAAGTTAACATCAACCAAATTCAAACCTTGGATCCCAGTGTCAAGATTTTGGTTAGCTTTGGTTTAAAGGTCCAGTGTATGCAGTTTGCTTCTGCTGAGAATGTGGTGACAGCCCTCACCAGCTTGCCAGCAGCACTGATTGTGTGCCTTTCCAGCTCGCTGGTTAACAATTTGGGCAGGGGCATTCAAGGATTTTGCAGGGGCGCCAGTGATGCGAAGTGCTGGTGCCAAAAGGGACTGGGTGCTGTTGCAGGCCTCCATACGTGCTGACCGTTGGTATTGAGGCTTCCTGTGTATGGGACATTCTCTAACTGTTTCAAAACCATTGGCAACTGATTGTTGATTCTGCACAGGTCTCGATTACTGTCTAAAACACATCAAGTTGCTGCTAATCGTGCTTCCAACAAGCGGAACCTGTTGCAGATGGTGTGTTGCACTCTTCACCATATCACAATCGCCCAAGCGACGTACATCCTAACTGTGTTTTCTGACCAATTTTTCAGTGTTATTCATTACTGTATTCGTTCAACAAATATAAGAGTACATGACGTCTTGAAGAATGGGTAATAGTCATCCTTCAAGGCATCATGTACGTTGCTGTTGCACGTACCAACATGGCACTTTGCGAGAAGCAAGTCCACCTGCAAGGCCAGTGGCTGCACAGCAGTGTGACACCCGAAAACAAGCATAACATATTCTGAACATATTCAGATTTTCAACTCACCTAGCTTCGAACTCATCGCACTGTGCGACAATGTGCAGTACTCAGGCCTTCACAGGAGCCTCATGGAGGCCGCCCAACGACAGGAACACCTGAAGCAAGAACTGGAGGATGCGAAGGAGGATGCGAAGGCAGTGGAGGGCCCCGAGTCACAGGCGGCAGGCACCCTGGCGCGGGTTGCCGATGTGTGCAAGGAGTTGAAGAATACCAAGGCGCGGGCAGAGACGTGGGAAAGGGCATTCCACAAGGTCGTGAGCAAGGTGAGGGCGCCAATTGGCCGATCACCCCTTTTATGCTATCATTGCTCAGCAATCAGTATGTGGGCGGCGTCAATCGATCACCGCTGGTGACAGATTGCATGCCACGCGATTTTGGCCTGTGCGAGCACCTGATGCCGCACCTGATGTTTGTGTCTGAGCACAGTAGGCTTAGCCTGTCTAATTCGTATTGCCCTTGTGTGAACCGCGCTGGGTTTCCAAAAGCTGCCTTGCATCAGTCGTGCACCACTGTCTCAACGGGGCCAGCAGCTGTAGCACGAACACTGGAAGAATATGCAACGTAAAGTCAAGTAAAGTGAAATAATACTGCGCACAAATTGCATTGTAGTAGGATTAAATTGTAGTACGAATTTTGCGTCCCACTTCCTGCCAGTGCCCTGCCCTGGCCCCGAAACTGAAAGCCAAAACTGTACTATAGTTGAAGGTTTTGTGGCTCGTGTTACTGCACAGACTCGTGAATGTCACAAAACGTAGCGCGGCCCAAGTACGGAATGAAATGTGAGAAATACGCACCTTTTTCTTGCGCGAGTGGCAGCATATGGATGGAAGCGCACAGAGAGATGTGCAACCAGCTCCCAACTCTCCACCTCTCTTGACCAACACCCTCGTCGCTTGCAAATTCGCCACCATTGATCGATACTGATTAGTCACCACTATGACTGTCCCAAGGCACCGGCTTTGGTTCGCGCATCAACATGATGCTGGCGGCTCCAAAACTGTGTTGTTTCTTAACTCCGCGCATATTCATACGCGGTTTTCTGCAATTTAACACGATTCAGACATTGCATTAAGTTGTGTAATACGTCCAATTTGTCGGTGCGACGCCGTAAACATGAAACTGGTAAGATACGTAAGGAATGTGGGAAAACAGGCAACTGCCTGCCAGTGTCTTGGCATTAATTGATTTAGTGTTATTCTAATGCCTTTAAGAATATCAGAAAATATTTGCTAATTTACGATGTACATATTATAGTTTTATAATTTGGTAAAGAGTTTTTGATTCGGTCTTGCCCGAATACCTGCAGAGCGCGCAGACAATTTGCCCCAGATCGACGTTCTCTTCGCTCTCGCGGCACTTGCGCGCTCAGCAGACTTGCAACTTGCCAATCTAGCGAGCAAGAGGTTGTCAATCCAACACAGCTTGGTTGCGAATTTTTTACCACTGTTCCGTGCATTAGCAGCGGCACCGAATCGATCGTGATCGCGACCGCGCTTTGGTGGAGAGTTGTCGCCGGCGAATTGATCCCAGCTGATGGCGCCGCTGCGTTTGTCGCAGCTGTGGGGTGCCCGAAAAGTGATCACAGAGGCCCAGCAGCTGCAGAAGGCGTATGCCCAGCTGAAGGCCGAGAACACGAGCCTGGCGTCCAGACTCGAGCAGTCCTGCCATCCGTCTGAGAGCTTGGCGCAGCGGCACGAGTTGGAGAAGGCAAAGGCGAAAATCGAGGTGGGGCTGACACGCCCAGACATTTCTTGTTCACGCAGACATTTCCTGTCCACCCAATGTGGTGGTGTTCCAAGCATTTGGGCAGCGTCCTCGCTTCCTACAAATACGGCAATCTGGGCAAGAGCGGTGCAAGGCTTGGTGTGGTTTCTGCCCTTTCCCTTGTCGAGAGGGCGTCAAAGTCGCGCCGTTTATCATATACCCAATTTTTACCGATATGAAGGGTGTGAAGCGTGCCAGCTTGGGATGCCCACAACCGTTGACATGCACCTGTCGGACGAAGCCAGTTGCTGGCCGCACTGACAAAACGTGCGTGTCCTGACGAAATTGGCTTGCATTCCTGCAGCACGTCAAAGTACTGGAGGTCATCCATCAGTCATGTACGGCGTGTTGGGCGGAACCACATCATGTGCCCGTGGCCGATTTCCTGCGCAGTTATCAAAAGTTCCTAAACAGCCAATTTTGGCCCCCACGAATCTTTGCTGAGAGCTCGAAAGCTTCTCTTGCGGCTGTTGCCTGCAGCTTGGGAAGTCTTGTCAGCAGTACATTACAGAGCAAATCCCCTGCACCCAATCTGGCGACAACGGGCGTAATATCGGCGCAATATTTTTTCCCTCCACCCTCTCGCATGTCAAGATGTATGCATCCAAAGAAAAGGCATCGCAACATGAACGAAGAGTGCTGGATGCAAAGCGCAAAACACTATTCGGTTTGCATGCAAAGTTGACGATGAGATTGAGGAGTTTGGCTGGATGCGGTGGTGTGTTCACATGGGTGGGGTGCAAACCATCACACTACAGTACAATGGCACACAGCGCCAGGCTTGGGCAGCCAACGATGCTGTGGTCTTTTAGCTGCAGTCGCAGTATCTCCTTGGTTTGTGTAGTAAGTTTGCGTGCTCTGAGCCCCAAACTGCTGAACATGCTGCAGTTTGAACAAAAGACTAGGAGCAAGAATATCGCAGTCGCTTGCCGTAAGGATGGCTATTGTCTGTTTTATTCGTGGGGACCTTGCACGGACTGACATCGGCTGCCGAGGGCGGTATCTGTGGCAGGCACTGCGTGCATCTCAAGCGGTGGCTGCCGATGGGGTGTGCACATGTGCGTTCGCGTCCTGCAACTCAGCCCACAGGCGCGGCGCGCCGCCCTTGGGGCTGCCATCAATGCAATGCGTCCCCTTGTCGGAGCAGGACGAGTTGGTTAAACCACCTCTTTTGGGAAACAGTGGCACAAGGCATAGTACTCTACAGTGCTTGAATGTACCGCTTTCCTAAATCGGCTTTGTTTGACGTGTGTCGCATGGCCATGACGCCAAGGATCGCGCAGCCACTCGTCGCGATTGGTCTCATCGCCCTGCATTCCGCTCAGGCACTACCAACGCTCCAGGACGTTCGGCCACCTCGACCATTATAACCGGAAACCGTTACACCATATACCGTTACTGCCGTATACCGCTACGACCGTTACCTCGACCGTACTTCCGGATCGACACATCAGCACGGATACATCGGTACCGTCAGGGCCGTTCAGAATTAGTTTCCTAGGTTTAGGATTTAGGGTTAGGTTTTTCAGTTTTCCGCAGTGTTTTCTAGTTTTTTTGGGGTCTTTCAGGGTTGTTTTGTTTAGGGTTTGGTGGTGGGCCCCGGAGCCCACGGCGCTTGCGTATGTCCATCACGTGATCGGTTTCCATGCTGGCACGCCCATCCCCCCCCTGGTGCACCCGGGCACAAGACCGGGGGGGCGCCCCCTCGCGAATCAACAAAAAACGCCATGGCCCCGCGGGGTTGGCTCTCCTGCCGGGCCCCGGGCGCCACCAGCCCGCGGGAGGCCGACGGGGAGGCGGACATCGGCGCCGGCGGGGGGCAGAGGGGGGAGGGATTCGATCGGAGGGGCCGTCGCAGGTCCAAGGTGATTGATTGGAGTCCACGATGCGAGGGCTGCGCGGCGCATGACCATGAATGGGCATTTTCGCGGCGACTGGGGGAACGTAAACAGAGGCATGGTGTCGTGGAATTGTGCGGTGTCGTGGGCGTGCTGGCATAGGAGGGGTGGCTGTGGCGGAAAGTCGCTGCTCGGCTGCCCCCTGGGGGCCAAGGGGCCTTGGAGGGCCCTGTCGAGGGCGGGGAGCCGCGGGAACGGGGGCGGTCGTCTCGCTTTTTTCCACTCGCTGTCGCGAAGTCGTCTCCGGAGCGAAGGTCCGATGCGTCAGGCGGTGGCCGGCGGCCCCGCGCTGCCGCGTTGGCGCGTCCCTTACGTTGGCGCTCTCAGCGATGCCCGACCGGGGTCGACGTGTTTGGGCTGTCGAGCGCGGGGCACCGAGGGGCCTTCACCCTGAGCGCGTAGAAACCGTGCAGCCGGCGGGGCTGGGCGCGAATAACACTGCGGCGTGCGCTCGCCCTGGAGACTGCCGTTGTCGGCGCGTCGTCGTCCGCGACGGGCGGTGTCCATTTCCCATGGCGCCGTGACATGTGTGTTCTTGCACTGTCAATAAGCGCCCCTAGTTCTCAGGATCTCCCGAATTTTGTCCGGGAAGACGTGCATGTCGTATTCCATGCGAACGCTCTTGTGCTCGTCGTATTCCACTCTTTTGTCACTTCAGGTGCTAAAGCGGCGCCCAACCCCTTGCTGCCCTCCACCGAAAGACCCTTTGCACTGCCCCACCACTCCAAGAGCGCTCGAATGTATCTGTGTCCTCTTGAAACCTTCATCTTTACCTCAGGCGGGCATGCCCAAGGCATGACCTGTCCTGTAGCGGGCAATGTGGCCCCACACGCCAGGCCATCGTCTGCGCATGCCATGCATGGTTCATGGTTGCGAGGGGTTCATGCTCTCGAGCCTCGCACAGGGGCTACAAGCTCATGCTCCAGTGTTTGGGGCTCCAATACTTTGTAGTGTATGAGGTTCCAGTACTTTAGTGTTGGGACTCAAGTACTTTGGTGTTTTGGATTCTGGTGCTCGGCTATGGAGCTTGTGCAGTCAAAATTATTGACTTCCTTCGCTGGTCAGTTGCTTGGATTTGGGATGGCCAGCGGCCTTGCATGGCGCTGCCATGCGCAGTTTCTTTGTTGGTCTGTTGGTGCATGGGCAGCATTGCTGAGGATGGAGCTAACGTAAGTGTTTCTTGTCATGGTGTGGTTGTATTGGATAGCCTGAACCCAACTAGCCATGGCCCATGAAGCTGTGGCCAAAGTCGCGTCGATTCCCACGAAGGGGCCCCAAAGTTTCATCTCAGCAACAGGTGCACAGGAGTGTGTACCTTGCTGACAGAGCATGGCTGCAAGGTTATAGACTGGGAGAGAGGCATTCTTCACGCGGCAAGCCGCAGCACCGGACCCTGGCTGTCACAGTTGATGGAAATGAACTGCCCCTTCATATACAACTTTCAGCCATTCAGCCTATTGTGGTGACACTGCGAACAGGGTTGTTTCCCAGCTGTTCGTCCAATTCCACTGGTACGCATGCCTACACGCAAGCCATCATTGTCTACAAGGTCCAAGGGCATTACTTTGTGCTGTCGAAGGCAATATGTGAGAATTACAGCACTAATGAACCAGCACAATGAAGCGACAGTCTCACCTTCACACAGCACTCTGAACTGCCCAGCTTGATGTGAAATCACATAATCTGTTATGGCGATGCACAAGTCATTGTGTGTTATGCACGCTGTTTGGTTTCGCTCAAGTTGCCAATTGGAGAAAGCCTGGCCAGTGCAAGGCGATGGAAAGGCTTGAATCCTGCATCCTCGTTTGGCTCTCAATGATTGAGTACGAGTTGCCATGAAATGCAGGAACAAGATGGACAGCTGCAGGACAATGCCGGGAGCATGGCTGCCTTGGCTGAAAAGCTTGCCATTCAGGAGGGAAAGCTGGCTACAATGGAGCAAGTGCGTGTTTCACAGCTTGTGAATATGCTCAGTTTCCTGCTGCTGGCTGGAGCCTCCCACCTTCCAAAATGTGCCTTGTAACATGGCTATTCTGGCATGGATATCTTGAATGTTTCTTTCCGCATAGGTTTGAGCATGTGTTGCTCCATTGCACACAACAATCCACCCTTCAGCTAGAGTGCAAGATCTCAATGTATTGCATCGAGAAGGAATTTGCGTCCGCCAGCTACTGGAGAGAAATGCGCCTGTGACTGTTGCATGACAGCAGTTTGGTGTAGGTGTGGGTGGTTGTCGCTAGTCAGACAACAAAAGGCTCCAAATCACTAAGCACCAGGGAGAACAAGCACCAACCGTACCGCGCTGGCACAGCATCAATGCTTGCAAAACTTAGACTCTCATCCTCCAAGTGCACCACACTGTAGTCCATGTGGTGGTGGAGTGGGGCCGGGCGGTGGGGCTGGGAGGGGCGGGCCTGGAGGCGCCTCATTGCAGGTTGAGAGAACAACAAGCAAACTCTACAATTGCTCAGCTGCTACTGTGTGAATCCAAGAACCGCATCGCTTCCATGGAAGTCAGAATGGTGGTGTCTTGGTATTTTCAAGCTGTTGCGTTGGCCCACAAAGCCTGTCTGCCCGGCTTTTGCTGATCAGTACCAGTGGTCGACAGCAATGCAGCGTTTCACCCTACGGCAACGCATCAAGTGTTTGCATCCAATGCACTTGAAACTGCACTCTTTAGCAATTGACTTCGTACAAACTTCATTTTGTTGCGAGGACTGAGGTGCATGCCCACAACTGCAAAATGCAGCTTACGGTATTGCACATGCGACATTGCCCTCTGAAATCATTAACTGTGCTGTTCGCAGAGCAATATCGACCTCCAGCAAAAGCTGAGGGAGATGGCGAGATGGGCAGAGCACCTCCAGCAGCAGAATCGGGAGCTGATGAAAGAGTCTGCAGAAAGCAAATTCAAGGAGATGGAAGCAATGAGGGAGTCAATTCGTGCAGACAAAGAGGAAAATGAAAAGTTGCTGAAGGTGTGGGCAGATGGCTGCCAGGCATTTACTGATCTCAAGGGTCTGTTGTCTTTGCCTGTTTTTCTTTTGGCGTAGAGAACAACTGGTCAGAGAGGAGCAAAGTTTGTTGCTTGTGGTGCAATTCGGCCATTGTCACAAAAAAACTGGTACAAAGCCTGTGCAAGTGCAACAAATGTAGTCCCAGATCTGATCCCAAGGATTCAAAGAGCGTGCATTCACAGATCATCGTATCTGCGTGCACCGTTTTCAACGGAGACAATGGCCAAGCTTGTCTTTAATTGACGAGGAGGTGTCTGCCCTTCGTTTCTGTGCAACTGACTTGCTGAACTGCAGAGGGCCCCACCACATTTTCTGGTAGACTTCATTGGTGATTTTTTGTGTTTTTTAATGGTATGCTTCGTTTTACTGGATTCCGCTGGACATAGCGGTGCTGCGAAAGGGCTTGCTTGTGTTGAAATGCGTGGCCTCTTACAACTTGACACACGGCATGGGATGTTCAAGATGCGATTGTGCCCATGGGGAGCCTGGGACGTTGCAAGGGCTGCAGATGTGGCTATCCCTACTCCTGAGCTGTTCCCTGCTGTTGGTGCTTATGAGCAGAGGGCTGGCGAGCTGGAGAAGGCGCTGCTCGAAGCGGACAAGAGGGAACGGGAACTCCGTGCTGACCAAAACGACCTGGTGGAGATTCAGCACAATCAGGGGCAGGTGCTGAATGAGACCACCAGGCAGCTGGATGAGGCAATGTCGACCATCTGTCACCAGAAGAGCGAACTGGCAAGAAAGGAGCAAGAACTGGAGGAGCTGCACAAAAAGGTGGGAGACATTGCGCGATGTGCAACATGCAACGTGTTAAGTATGGTAATGTGCTTGATTTCCAAAGTCTGGCACTGTGTTGCAAATTAGTCCCTTGCACCTGCTAGGTGATGATGGGAAGAATTCCATGGGCAGTGGTGACAGAAGAATGCGTGCATTTGTACCCTCTGGAATCAACGAGACTTGACAAAGGAAGGAGCACTGGTGACAAGACAAAGGCATCGCTGCTTGTCACCTGGAACGAAGCCTATTCAAAGACAGCCATCCAATGGATGAAACATGCTGCGAAAGGACAAGCTTCTCCCAAGCAACAATTCCTCTGTTTCATGTTCTGGGCATTTGTTTGGCAAGCTTGTTGGCCTTGGTGGTTCACATTCGCCACCCAGACATTTTGGGGTGGAATGGTGTCGAATTGCTGCCGTCCTGTTTGTCCATAGCTTTTCTCAACGTTGTTGACTTGAGCTTCAGGCTGTATTCCTGCTCAAAGTACTTTTTCTGGCAACAAGCCCACAGAATGGATCGTTGCAGACTTTCATGGACCCAGGCACACTGTGCACTCAACGCTTGAACAAACGATGCAACTGAGTGCCCTTCACCTCCTTGCTGGTGCGAGAGCGGTGATTTCGTGCATGGCAGAATTGGTCAAACAGTTACTCACTGACAGTTGTTCTATCTGGTCAAATGTCTGTCACCCTTTTTGCAGTGGACAATTGGATGGTTTTCTAAACTGCAATTATGGCACGCTGAAAACATGTTAATTGGATGTTGTGGTTACCGTCACCTGCAACGTGCAAGGGCTTTGTTTTTCACGGCTTTCTGACAACTGTTGTCCGTGAAATTTCACACCTGGTTGTGATGGAACGCTGGTGTGCTTGTTGCCTATTGTGCTGCCTTGCTTTCCTTTGCAGCTGTTGGTTGCGAAGGATCATTTTGAGAGGGGGGAGCAGTTGGAGGAGGAAAGGCGGCAGCTGAAGGGCAAGGTGGCTGCGCTGCAGCTCCAATTGGATTCTTCAGCTTCAGGGTCTCCTGGGGACAAGGAGGAGATCCAGAGGTTGCAAAGAATCATTCAGGTAGAAGCCACTGCAAATGAAGTGCTGGTCACAGGCACCACTTATCATTTGTGTTAGCAAATGATTGTGCCACCATCACCTCACGTCTGGTGGGGTGTTGTTGTGGACACCAACTCATTCTGGTCGCTTGATCGCATTTGCTACAGGGCACAGGAAGCCCTTAAATCAGGATTGGCAATATCCAGCGCCAATTATGAGCATATGCATCTTTTTGTTCCCACATTGATTGTTTGGGTTCTTGCCTGGCAGTCTTTAGTGCCGCCAAAACAGACATCCCTATTGCTGGGAGATGAAAGGATGCTTGCCCTGCCTGGGAAAATAAGGCCCGTTTCCTTTTTGGGTCACATGTTTTGGATTACCAAACTGAAGCGAATGGCGGAGAACAGCATACTACAATTAGCAGTGGTCCAAACCCACACAAATCCAAAATGGAAATTCGGTTTCCTCAGGGTTATGCAGGCCCCACTGGCCATAGCAGCCAACAGAAATGAGGCAAAATTATTGCTGTATATGCGGTCTTGTACTGTATGAGATCAAGCGCAATTGCCAAGTACACAATGTGTGCATTGTACATAAGTGCCAAGTGCTTCATGCATGACGCAAATTGCATGTTTAAATTGCATGTTTATTGCATGTTTAAGCGCTGGCAGCTGTGCACCCCTGCCATCCCCTGCCGGTTGTACTTATGGACACTGGATCTTATCCAGCACTTTCCACCACGTTATGTGGGCCACAGTTGCCAGTGGCCGCTCTGCAGCCAAAAGGGGCCTCAGCAGTGCTGCTCATGCGATCAGGAGAAGGACGCACAACTGAGGCAGAACGAAACGGATGGGCGCCTGGACTCCAGTCGCTGCGCCTCTTGCTCCCACCTGTGCGAGGAGCTGAGGCAGCTGCGGCAGCGGCACCGCGATGTGTGTGACGAGAAAACGCAGCAGGAGGAGGAGATGCGGGAGGTGAAGCTGCAGCTGAGCAAGATGACGCCTTATGGCACCAGCCCTTTAGGACGCATTAGGGAGCTGGAACTGCAATTCACTCAGGTGGGGACTGTGGCAAAGATGTGTTTCTGTTTGACCCGACTTGTTTTTTCCAATCCTTAAGTTGCTTGTGCTTGGATATGTGCATGCATGTTTTGTGCTGGCCAATTCCTTTCAAGCTGTCCAACTATGGATTGCACCACAGTATGGAGTGAATTCATGGTTGTTCCACATGTCAAGAGATGCTCACATGATGTCACATGACGTGGAGTGTGGAGGATGCAGTGATGCTGAAGATACTCCTTCTGCTTTGCCAACCACGCCTACACTTTGCAGTTCACTTTTCCAACGGCCAGCACCAGCTGTTAGCATCCTTGTTCGTCATGCAGTTCTCACTCGCTGATGAAGAGTCGGTGGACCTGTGGCATGCGCAGAAAAAGCAGGAGGCCTGCGAGGTGCAGCGGAAGCTGCAGGCTGTGGAGGCTGAGCGGGACGCCCTATTGGAGGACCTGGTAGCGAAGGAGGACCAGCTGCTGCAGCAGGACGGCCGGCTCACCATGCTGGGCCAGGCACTGAAGCAGGCGGAAAACCAGATCGAAAGGAGTAAACGCAGCGGGCCCCAAGATCCGGACATCGACCCAGGAGAATGACCTCTGGGCCTAGTCCGGGCCAGCACAGTGTGCACGAACCTACCCTGCACGCGTGGTGCCACCATTCGTTGTGGTGCACAATCCTGTGGAGGCTTTGATCAGGTTTAGGGCTGTGGTGTGCTGTGGGTGCTCCATGCCGCAGTGCATTGTGGGTGCACTGTGACCCCAAGTTTGTGCAGGGCCTCCACAGCGAGAATCCTACGTACTTGCGCGATATTGCACAGGGCGATGCCAGATTCCAGAAGGAGGATGCCTACCTGTGTCGAAGGCATTGAGGGCATGTGCATATGTTGCGAACTCGATATAGGGCATTGTAATCAGTAGTGCGGCTGTTGGTTAGGAACAGCCTGCTCCCTGTAGTAGAGCGTTAGGAGGGGCAGGGGGGAAGGGGGAGTAGTGTGTCAGTTTAGGAGTGGGTTGCAGTGCTTGAGGAGATAAACCCGGCTGCGCCCATGCATGGGGGAGGCTGCCACGGCTGCCCGGCTCGACTCTGTACATAGTGCAGTCTTTGGCCGCTGCTTGTATTGCTAGTGTACCGGACTGGCGGCACGACTGCACAAGGGTGCGCTTTGGTGCAGTGCTGGGCGCTGTACTGCAAAACAGCAGTGCTGCCCCTGAGGGGGCTTTGGGAACGGCAGGCCGGAGTGCGGGCCTTTAGGGGATTGGAAAGCTGCTGTATCAGTATGCCCTCCCCGCCACACAGTGCCATAAAACCACCAGCAGGGATACCGAGAATCGATCTGCTGGGTCAAGATTGTTGTGGACCCCAATTGTTGTATTTTTTGCGATGCACCGGCGGTCCCCGTCGGGGCGCTGGGCGCTTGCGGTTCAGGTGTGTTTGAACTTGAAGTCCAGTCGCTCTGCGGGCATAATCGGGTCCGGCCCTGGCAACTAATTGCAACCTGGGATACGAGGCGTGTCGTGTGATGGTCTGCACGCCGTGCGGCCCCCTGCGTTCGTGCCTCTGCTAATGTTCAAGGGGGGTTGGGACACGAAGGCTCACGCGAGCAGTTGCTGTTGACAACCTCCTATTGCCAAAGGCCGGAAGGAGAAGCATTCGGAGGGCGCGTCGTCGATGAGGGCATCTTGGCGTCCGTATTGCCATGCCTGGAACACACGCTTGGCACAATTCCGCGGTTTCAGCGGGCCCCCTGGAAATGATAGGGGCAGATCGGCGTTCAAAGTGCTTGCGCATGCACCTGCCACGGCTGCCCTGCAGGTGAATTGTTGAAAGTGGCACCAAACTTTAGCTGCACAAGGACCTTTGGACTGTTTTTGGGCTGTCTAAAGAGACCACAGTGAAGGTTTCTTCGCGAGCATGCGCCCTACAGTCGATACTAAATGGAGGGGATGAAAGACTGGGCTGGTGACAAAGGCAATCGAGCCTGTCCTCATTGGTGCCACCAAGTCCCGCCAACACGTCATTTACACCCCACTCCACCCCACTCCACCCCACCCCACCCCACCCCAAGCAGAATTCTTGGTGAGCCTTCTTTCCACACCCTGAAATACGACACAGGCGTTTCCTCCTGCGGCTGAAGAGAAAACACCCGAAGACCGCAGTCATACGGAACTACACAATGAAAGTGGAATTAAACGTGCCACCATCCCCTCGGCTCGACCCACAGGCACAGAACCATTGCCGTACTTTACAAATCGCCAAACCGAAAGGCCCGCCCCAGTATCCAGACCGCCTGATATTCCTGCACCATTCCAAAATCGACTCGCCGGGTTGTTCAATGGGGCGAACAGCTTCCCGTTCCTTGGGGCCCGTACGCTGCTCACTCATCCGGCACTGATGCCAGCACAAGCAATGGGCCAGTTTCCCAGTCCTCCGTTCGGTGCTTGACAGCAGCGCGTCTTCCCAGCCACCCAGCATTGCAAAAGAATGGATGAAAGGGGCAGCTGCTCGCCCGCCTCAACCAGCGATACACCCCCTTGCCACGGAAGGTCCAGCATTGTCATAATTCACTCCATGCCCATAAATTCTGCTCTCGAGTGCGGTACCCCACGAGCGCCTCCCTGACCCACCTGCCTCCCAGAGCCCCGACGATTCCCTATGCCCCAAGGCCCCAATGGCCCCCCCTCTGCCGCTGACGTGGGCTTAAGGCGAACTGCCACATCAGCACATAATCTGCCCCAGCGAACATCAACCAACAGTGGACAATGCAGGCAACTTGCATGGCGCGCGTGGCGCCTCCGAAGCTGTGGCTGGAAGGCCAGCAGCAACACAGTGCATGCAAGCTTATGCAAAAGCTCAAGAATCTCCCCTGGCCCCTTTAACACAAGATCAGAGGTTCCTTGGAACGCCACACCCCCTGGAATGGATCTTTCCGTGTCGAGACACCAAACCATGCGGGGGTCACGCGCTGGAGATCCTGACAGAACTCTCTCCATAGTATGTCGCCACCTGGACCCTCCATTTCAGATCTGGGGGCAGATTGGGTATCTGGAGGGCGGGAGGGGAAGACACAGTGCTGATGAGTCAAAGCCCGGAAACAGATTCAGCCGCTCAACGTGGCCAAAGCATTGGAAAGTAATTGCGTACAAATGACAGCAGCGAATATCCCACTGTCCTGTTTACAACCAAAGTCCACAAGCGAAGACGACGCTGGGTTTTTCTTGAATGGCTGCGAATCATTTCTGGCAAAGGGTCTGCAACAACATCTTTCCATGGTTTGATAGATTCGATGAATTCTCCACTGCATGTGAGGATCTTTCTCAAAACAACTTGCCACGCCAGCCGTTCACTCAAGCAAGATTTTGCCAAACAGTCCAATGTGCCAGGGATTCCAAACTGAAATAAATGAAGGGCACAGCAAAGCACAGTTTAGGACAGAGTGTTTCATGCTGTCTCACATCTCACTAGAAAGGAAACGACACCACAAACGCCTGGAGACACCACCAACGACAAGGCAAAAGGCAAGCAGTTCCGTCCACCACGCTGAGCTGTTGTTCTGCCTGCCTTTCAGGCTCTCGGCACCCAAGGCTGACTACCAGGGCTGCTGCCACAGGTCAGATGTTGTGGCCAATAGAAATTGTAAAGTAGATAGCCATGCAGGGCAATTATTCCAACAGGGTCTCTCTCACCTTGTACTCCAGCATTCGGCCATCCACAGGTGCCAGCAGTGCCACAAAATTGTACCTGCATGCACAAACACTTCTGATGGGGCAGGCAACAAAACACAGCCTGCACCAAGCCCCTTCGGATTGAGATCACCACAGCAGGGTCAACGTTCTGCTGTTCGGGTTCCATGTTTGAGTTTGTCAACAGCAGCACAAAGGAAGTGCAAAAACTCGTGATCTGGCATCGCCCATTTGCATACCAACACAAACACAATACAATGATTAACAAAATACAACAAATATAAACAACATAACATAACATAAAGAGCACACTCATATGGCAACATAGAAAGAAGGATTTGCCATCTTTCACCAGGTGCCATAACAGCAACGCCCCAAGGGCATCACCACGACAGCAACCCTAGCTTCCGACCACAGAAACCATTCTGATGTGAGAAATGTGTGCTTCAGCACCCTCTTAACTGCCAGGATATAATTCTAAGTGCCATGTGGAAGCCCAATAACCACATGCACAATACAAATACAGGTCACACTGTGATGCAACAATTACCATCTAATCAAGTACAGGCAAAACTACAGGTGCCATCAGCAGAACGCATATTTTCAAGTCTGGTCAGTGCAGATTTCGAAAGCCACCTGCAGTCCAACACCATGTCCAGCTCCATCTCATCACTGATCTTCCTTCCAGGGTAGCCCTTCCTGCTGGCTTCTTCCCCATCCACAAACACCTCCCCATTGCAGCCCCATCCGTAGGAAGTCTCTTTGGTGCAGGTGTCCTCATGCATGGCCACAGGTGTGCTCTCAGCGATGATGCCCAGCATCACCCAGTCCTCGCACGATTCAACTCGGATCCTGAATCACAGATCCCCAATCCAGTTTGATGGGGGTTGTCTGCTTCACAGTACAACATACACCATGACCTTTGTGTTGATGCGATCTTGACTGATCAGCTGGCTGGCTGACTGGCAGAATACCTGGTCCATTAGCTCAGGTGTTAACATTTGCCCCTCAATGACAATGAACTGCCCTTGCAACCTCCAAGATGGCTACGATAAGGTTGGGGCAACAAGCAGGATTTCATTCCTTTCAGGCCATTCATCAAGGTGCACAAGTCCATATTGCATCGACCATCTTGTTGGTTTGGCTGGATGAAGCTCCTATGCAGTTTTCGTTCGTTAGGGGGCCACATAGTGACCAACACCGTTCCGAGTCACAGACGAGGTAATGCGCTCCACAGTACCACAGGCACATGAATTTTGTTGTCAACACGCCAGCTTGAGGACCTTGATCGATCAAAGGCTGTCATTCCATCCACATTGTCTGGTTCTGTTTGGCTGTCTGGAACATCCCTCACCTGAACCTGAAGACAGATGAGCTGTAGACATTGTCACTGAACACATGGTGGCGCACGTGATCGTGACCATCACATGTTGCAACTGCACCGTCCATTGAGATGTTCACCCTCTTAGTCTTCAGAATGGGGCTGAACCTGCCGTCACGTTGCAGTGCAAGACTCAAATCACAGCAGGACAATTCAAGCACTCAGGCAAGCATCAATGTATGCTGCAGGTACAATCCTGTGCTAAAAGACATAAGCAGGGGCATAAACACATATAAAAAGAGGCATGAACACACCTTTCGGCACAACTCTGCAACAAACTCAGCAAAACTACCCACTGTCCTCATCACGTTATCAGGTGCAACTGGGTCTGGTGCAGAATTACTATCTTGGGGCGCTGAACACACACCAACTTGATCTCCGCGTGCCCAGGTTATGTGCGATGAGGTTCTCTGACAAGAGAAGTCCATGAAGTTCCACACACCAGCAATCTACCAAACGGGCAGTGGCAAATTTGCCCAGTGTCTGAATTCGGCTGACTCAGTTCGTCAGGAATGTATGGAAAGGATCTTGCATCTGAAAGGCTATTGTGGCCGTACCATCATCAGACTCAAGCCTGATTCAAAGTACACCAAGTTTCTTGCTGCTGTAAGCCCTCTGAAGACACAAAATAACCACATAACGTCACACAATACACAACACAACACAGTGTTGATGTTTATTTCTCAGGCAGTACATAGAGGCAAACACTGTTCCCAGTTGCCCTTGACGCTTCCTTTTCACAGTACACTGAGTGCCATACCCTTTGTTTCTGATTCATCAGAGTACCGCAGCAGATTCCATGCATCAGTAGCTATTTTCTTCAACCATTGGCAAGTAATTTGATGAGTTGATAATTCATTTGCAAGACACACCTGAAAGGGGGCTGTGGTGAGATGAGGTTCTCCAGCCCGAGGTCGGTCAACATCAGGCGGAACTCGTCCTCTTGCTCCCAGGGCACAGGACGCATTGACAGGTTCTCCGCGGCCTCTCCATATCTGGCCTTGCACACCAGGAACCTCAGCAGAATGTTGAAGAGGTCAGGATCATAGTCAAAGAAGACGTTGCCGCTGGCGTCCCTGTCCAGCCTGTCCTCCCATCGGCCACTGAACAGCAGCTCCAGCACACTGCCTTTCACCTGCAGCAGCCAGGACGGGCCCACTTGTGCACAGTTTCCACAACCCACCAGGGCCAGTCGTTGCAAACGTTTGAACAGAAACATTGAGTGCCCGACACCGCCCAAAACGTGCAAGAGCACTGCTTTGCTAAAGTCAGCAAACTGCACTTCCACAGAAGTTGGGATCGAAAGATCTCCATGGGTTTGGGCCTTGGCAAGATGGAGTTTGCTTCCTGCCAAACCAGCTCCGATTTTAATATCAGCCCATTTTCACAGCACACCTGACCTTAAGACATCGTTCCAAAGCTTGCATGTGACTTTCAATTCGGGGGAAGCCCCCCCCTTGTGCTACAGGGGTAATAATTTTCGCCACAACACTGCCCACCTTGAGAGTTGTAGCTCCCAAAGTCACAGCACTTTTCTCTGTGGCAGAGAACCAGCCATGGAGCTACTGGTGGGGCACACCCAGCCCATCTCATTGCCAAGAAACGCGAACGCACAAGGCCCAAAACTGGCGTCTTAACAGAAAGAAAACGTGCCCTCCAAAGTGCAACCCCTGCCTCTTTGTGAGCACGAATTTTGGGAGACTCATGTCCATAAGTACGTTCAAGGCAAAGGACCGATGTCAGGGGAAGCCTGCTAGCAGCCAGCACAGACCTTTGCGAGGCTCATTTGCGCGCTGCGGGAGCAGATGCACAAGGCTCCGAGGGCAACTGGAGCAGCATGCAACACACGCAGCCCACGACGGTGGCAGCACCAAAACGGGAAAGTACTCTGCTGCCGCTTCTCGGGCTAGATGTTCTCCCATCTCCGCCAACCGGGCGCGCCGGTCCGCGTCCGACGGTTCCTAGCTCGCCCCACCGTCTTTTCACAGCTCGGCACCGCCAAACCGCCCACCACCACCGCCCCCACTCATCGCGCCGCCCGGAGGGGGCTGCGTTCCGATGCTCAAGCCATCGGCCATCGGAGCACAACACCCGCGCCCCAAACGCAGGCGCACCCCAAGCCTCCCTCAAGCCCAAGCGCCCCGCTTCGACACACGAACACCACCGCAACCGCTTCCGCCCCCGGCCCCACGCCGCGACCCGCCCACCTGCATCAGCGACGTCCGCTTGGTGGCGAACGTCCTGCCCCCCACGTTCAGGTACACGATGTCGTTGTCTGACACCTTAACTTTCTCCATCGTATGCTTCTCCGCCTCCAACTGCTCCTGCGCAGCGGCCAGCCTGCGCTCCGTCTCCTCCAGCAGCTGCTTCTTCTGCGTGAACTCCGCCGTCACCTCGCTCACCAGGTCGCGCAGGCGGTTGTGGTCCGCCATCGCGCGCCAGTCCCCTCAGAAGGGGCCTCGGCGCACGTCCGCGTGCCTCCTCCCCTGGCGCAGGGCCACACTGGCGGGGTCAGCCTCTGGTAACCCACAACCACCCATCACCCCACGGTTCTGTTCTTGCCTTTTGAGCTGCCTGCGTTGTGTGCTCATCAGTTCGCACCGGCGACTCTACGTCATCTTTTCACAGCGTGCAAAGCGCCTCGCACACATTTGCCAAGGAGGGGGTGCCCTTTGCATGGCCTGTTTCTCTTTCTCTTTGCAACAAACCTTAAACCCACGGTTCAGGTCGCAAAACGGCTCAGCCAGCAATACCTCGCGTTCTGCAAACGATCAAAAAGGGCACGCTGTTTTATTTCCGCAGACCGTCGATCCCTTCATCTGCCTTTTGCCGAAGGCCGCATGGCTGTGGCCACACAACGACGCGGCAGCCCTCCTGGTGCCCCGCACTTCGTCCGCACGGGGGGTATCCCTCGAGGGCAGCAGTAGGGGCGGCTGCCCAGCTCACCTTTGGGCTCTTGGCTGCCGCCTCCAGGCGAGCAGCGCGGCGCGACGGGGACTCCGCGCAGCGCGAAGCCACAATTGGGTGGGCAGGAGGAGGGGGGATTGCGGAGCGGGGATGTCAAGTCGGACCTGCTTGATGTGATGCCGTGGAAGCGGCGCGCTGCGCTTTTCTTTGCCGAGGTGTTGTGCTGTTCTGGACCTCCAAAGATGCCATCAACCCACACAATCGACCAATCATTCAAGCGGTCAGTTGTCTTCGCAAAGGATGCCGGGTACATATACTCCTGCAGCCACTGGCGCCCTGCTGGTGTTTCTGGCACCATTGGCAACCGACGGAAGTGGCAAGGAGCAAAGGACTTGGTCGCACAAGCAGTGCTTGTGCTGTTGCACGAGGCGAATTGAACAAGCACTTGTTGTGACGAGTGTGTCCATTTGGATGGAACAGTGCCCGCCATCACTTTGGAAGGTGCAGTGATGTTGCTTTGAAACGTTTTTTCAAGTCGCCAGGAGAACAGAAGCGTGGTATTCAACTCACTGTTAGTCCAATTGCCCAGAGTCCTAAAGCTCGGCACATGAATGACATCTGTTGACTGGCTGGATAGGTAACACGGCACGTAAAACTATCTGCTTTGGCATGGCAACGCCGAGCAGTATACTTGCACACACGAGTGCAGCCAAATGGATTGCCTCTCTACAAGCTGATGGGCGCTGTTCGGGTGTCAAAATGTGGTGTCAAAATTGTGAGGCAACGTTAGCTGCTGAGGGTGTGGCACCCCTTGAGCGGCTGGAGCGCTGGCTGCGACCAAGACTCCATGGGGTCCCGTTCATCAGCAAGCTTAAATATCAACAACTCAGAGATGCCTCGATCGCCTCTCTCAGTGGCAAGCCAGCCTCACACACTTTGCCGTAGGGGGGGGAACGGGACTAGCTGCTCCCGTTGCTGACGTCGTTGCCACCGACAGAAACGGGTACACCGGAGACACACTCACACGCCAATACCGGAACCCCTGCGGCGATGGTTACATGTCACACTTATTGCACACACCGCAACCCCCAAGCATCCTGTACAAGTGGCATTGGGAGCAGATTCCGTCCGGTCCAGCACCAATTGACCAATGAGCCGAAGAATGAAAAATTGAACTTGAAAGAGCAAACGACAGCCGCCTTCGCTCGCCCCTCTGGAGATCAGCAGCATCCGGAATCCCTAGGGCATTTCGCCTTCCGCGCAAGAAGCGCCGTGGCCAACAGAAGCCGGCGTTAAATTTGATTCTCATCACTACCGATCGGGCTACACTAGCTCTTGAGGCACTCACAGCTATGCTAGCCTACCTTCCCAAGCCTTCGGCTGCACTCGTGTTCCTACACCTTTCCCGTCTTATCATTATGTCAAAAACCCATTTATGCGAGCTCCTAGCTGCGTGCACGCATTATTGCACCAGTGGGCGCAAAGGGAGCACCGCCCACTGGCTGTTGGGTGCCTCAGGACCTAACTTTCTCCACCTCAACCGTCAGGACAGTAGGCGCCCCTAAACGCAGGTCCCTCCCTGCCCGTATACCATGCGCCCCTACTCTGAGAGACTCCCATACATACATGGAAACGCGACATGTGACGCGGTTCACTCCCGATTTCCCACTTCAATCGACTGGAAACCACAAAAAGGAAGCGGCTACCAGCCGCGTAACTCACATGGGGTGACTCACTGAACATGGGAATGGTGACTTCCATCCCAACCCTACACATCCCACCTCAGGGGCCCAAAAGCCGCAGAGATAACCCTTTCTCAGGGCCTCGGCGCCTGCCACAGGCTCTACCAAATTTCCATCACCCCGCATACGATAATGCTGCAGACTTGGGAGGTATCTCCCCAACCATCTGACAACTGGCCATAAAATGGGAACTGGTCCACTGGTACACAACGGTCACGGTGCTTCACACTGCTGCCCAAAAAACCTCAAAACCCCACACAGGGTGGGAGCCGATGTGCCGATTTCTTGGTGGGGATGCCACTTTGGAGGGCTCATCCACTGCAAGCAGGCCACACACCCCACTGATCCTGGCCACCGTGATCGCAGCTACAACAAAGAGCACCACCAGCGAGTGCACAGGTTCCATGGAAAGTTTCATTGAGTTTTATCTTCTGCTGATACAAACTGTCAGAATGCACCCGTCCCAGGGGGCTGCCCCTTCAGGTGCCTTCCTATAGCATCGCTAGATTCCCACCACCACACTCCAGCTCAAACAACACCCTTTACACACACTCTAGTCGCAGCCAACCCTTCCCCCAACCCACCCAACCCACTGCACCCCAATTTTCGAGTCTCCCTATCGTAGGCACAATGCACCCCGAGGGAGAGGCAGCAGAATCCCTTCCCAATACCCTTCAGCAACTTTGGCTACCCACACAAGTTGAAATTCACGCAGTGCCAGAGCCATCATCGCTTGATCCGCAGGAAACCCCTGTCCCAAACAACAGGAACTGACTATTGGCCCACACGCCACTGTACTCCCTTTTGTGGCTTCACCCGTATTGCATTGCACAGGAGGTCCCAGCTTCCACCCACACACAATACCAAGTACACCCCCGAAATGGGCGCCACTGCAACACTGGCATTGCTGCACATTCAGCTCCTTAACCTGTGCCAGCATAGCCCAGGTCTTCAGCAGGAATGCTCTTTCAAGGCCCAAACCGCAGATCAGGCCAAACAGGAGAGCAAACTTGTCCTGCATGTGACAGGCAACAGCCATCCTCGTGCAGTAAACCTGCGCTTCTTCCATCTTGGTGGGAAGTTCACAACATATCAGCACAGCCCCCGCCCAACGCCCGTTGCACCCTTCATCAAAACGCACTGACTTTGACCGCTCTGCGGAGAGAACTGCTCTGCTGAAGCAGTCTTCAATCAGTACCAGTTTTCTGGCTGACCCTTCGCTGGGGAGGCTACCTGCAGTCCGTTGGGCGACACAGGGTGGAGGCCGTTGGTCAGGCCGTTGGGCGGCCCTGCGAGGCCATTCTCATGCTGCAGACCCAGAGTACCGCCTGCTGCACCAAGGGGCCTGTCTTGCAGGGACAACTTCAGGCCCTCGAAGCAGAGGCGCACAGCTTCCTGGAACTCAGGCAGGGCCTGACAAGGGATGATGATGGAGTTGCGGTCTGGACCGATGGCCTGGTCATCCACACAACAGGGGAAAGCCCAGTCATGCAGTCGCAGCTGCTCTGAAAGTGCCTAGGTAGGCATCCTCACTTTTCCACAAACATAGTCTTCAGATAGCTTCGCCTTTTTCATTTCTTCACATCTTCAGATACGATCATGAGAGTTGCAGAAATGTCATGCAGCTGAATGTTCGGACTTGCAGGCCATTGTTTTAAAGTGCAAGGCTAATGACCCCATGTGGGGTTCCCATATTGCAGGCAGTGGGTGCATGCCCAGGGACGTTGGAGCTCATTAGCAAACTGCGCGCAATTTGGTCTCCATTCAGGCGTCCTGGTAGACCTACTCTTTGCACCTAGCAGACATTCACAGCAGCTACACATACAAATTGCTGTTGCCTGTTCCCCGCGCAGGCACCCCAGTCAAGATGGTGAGGCACCCTTGTGGATGGAACAAAGAGAGAGTGCAACAGTTTCTCTGCACCTTGAAATCGATGGTGCACCATTGACCACGGAAACAACATTTAATCGCAACCCCGGTGGGGTGCCTGCGACTCCTCTCCACAACAGCCGCTGCTGAAGAAGTGTCGTAGTGTGAATACATGCAAACTACGCAGCCACAAACAATGCCTTGCGATTTCAGGTCTGCAAGGCAGCAATACAGTTCCTGAGGGTTGAAGAATCCAACACAACACGTTTTTTCCAGTGGCTGTTTCTCACGTCTTTCCCTTTGAAATCATGGCTGTTTGGGCATTGCGCGCACTAGCAAGGCACCTGCAATGGGGAAGCGCAATAGTAGTCCAAAGAATCCAGAGTGTTGCACTGCATGCAACCACTCGTCGGCCCGAACCCAGCCTGTCTGTTCATACAACACTCGCGTGCATGCTCTCTCGTAGCTGGGTGCCCCTGCTGGACTCGAATACTCCTCCAAGCGCAGAAACAAGCCACATGAACAAAATCTCCACAACCGTGCACATTTGGGGCCCCGTTTACCACACAATTTTCTTCCTGTTGGAAGTGACAGCCAAGCCCCCAACTCGGGCCCTTCTCACCTCGGTGATGCGAACGAACTGACCACGGTGGTTTGCCCCAGGGTCCAGAAAGAACCTCTTCTGCCCAACCCGCAAGATCTGCGATCCATTCTCGGCAGACACCAGTGCCGGGGGCGACGGCCCCGGCCCCACCACCTTCTGACTCCCGGCGACCGACCCAGGCTGCAACACACCGCCAATGACGGCGCCCAGAATCAATCACAATCACCATCACGTCGCGGCCGTCATTCTTGATGCCCAAACGGGGCCAAGGGGCGCCAGGGCGGCCTCGGTGCTGGCAGTCGAAGCGCCGCTGGGGTCGCGCGCAACTGTGCTGAAAAAATAGTAATAATCCGTCGCCAAGGCAGGCGCCGGAGGGTTGAAGACCCGATCGGTGCCGCTCCAGTAAAACGACAATGGAAAGGGCGCCAAAACGGGGTCATGGCGACTGGCAGACGTGGCCTTGCAGGCAGGCGAGCCCAAGACGCGACAAAGGGAGGGGCTGTCCTGCAGGTTGCACCGGGCAAGGCACTGCGGAGTCGCAACAGCGGCGTCAACGATGCAAGAAAATTGGCACAACCGGGCTGACCGCTCTGTTCACCCCTCCGCGGCAAGATGGGCGAAGGGAGGCGAATAGGGGATTCAGAATTTGCGGCGCAGATGCTCACGTCCTGGAAGGATGGGTGCTCCATTGCCGGCATGGCCTGTCCGGACCACTGCCCCTCGGCCGCCAGGATCCTGGAGAGCGTGTCGCGGAACGAGGCCCAGCCGGTGAGGCCGGCGCCCCCCGAGGGAATGATCAGGGAGCTGCGTCCCCTGGGGCTGCGCACAGGGAGCGAGGAGACGTCAGAGGGCTGTCGCCCATCAAGCCGCCCGCCTTGATCGATCCTCAGATCCGCAGGGAGGCTCAGATCGTGGGGGGCTGCCGACTGGCGGGAAGCGTCAGGGGTGGCGCAGCGGGGTGGGGGGTGGGGGTTTACTCACCCGGCGCCGCTCTCCGACACCCGCAGGAACTTGCCGCGCGGGTTCTCGCCGACGTCGAAGAAGAAGACCTTGTTCTCGATGGGTAGCTCCTTGTTCACAAGGGACCTGTGCAAATGGGCGAACGTCGGGCAAGTGGGGGTCAGAGGAGGCATGGGAGGAAGCACGGGGCCCGGGGAGAGGACTCGGGCCGAGGGAGGGGTGGGGGCTCACCCGCCGTCGCTGGCCGCGGCGTAGTAGTGGAACAGCTCCACGAACCAGGGGATGCCGCTGGAGGGGACGATGATCGTCGAGCGCTCCCTGTTGTTGCCCTTCTCGGAGATCTTCAGGTAGCGCCCCCGGCCGTTCTCCTTGAGGTCGAGGTAGAACAGCTTGCTCTCCACCTGCGCCAGGGTAGCCCCGAAGTTGCGCACAGTCAGGAGAGCCGATCAAAGGAGAGGCGCCAGCGCGAAGCGCCCTCAAACCAAACGCCAGCGCTCCCTTGGCCCCCACCCCACCCCCCACCCTTTCCAACACAGCCCATTCTCCACCCCTCTCTTCCCCAGGATCCATCCAAGATCCCCTTTGGAACCCGTCCCCGGCCCACCCCCACCCCCCCACCGCGCCCCTTCCAACCCAGCCACCGACGGCCGCCCTCCCCGCTCACCCTCAGCGTCTCAGACACCAGCTCCTTGTCCCCCCGGGACGTCCCGTCCAGGCTGGAGTCCATCCCTTCCTGTCCGCCGCTGCCCGCCTGTCGCCAACCTCGCGGCCCCCCCCCAGCAGCGCCCTCCGGCCGGCCTCACCGATCGGATCCCGGCCAGGCCCCCTTCAGGCGCCCAGCATCAACCCCCGATCCGATTCAGCGCCCTCCGTTCGGTTGGGCGAGTCCAGGCCGCCCCGCGCCGCGCCCACGCAGGCCTCCTTTCGTCGCACCACGGGAGAGGGATGGCGCACGAGCACGAGACGGTCGCACAGGCCACAGTGCCGGATATGTCCCTGGCGTCGGCGCAGGCAGGCGGTGGTGAGGACCGAGCGCCCCAGACCGGCGGAGCAAGTTGACTAAGCTTGGCCCCTCCCCGTCAAGCAGCCGGCAACACTGTGGCCATTGGCCCCGCCCAAAGACACCGTCTGACGCCCCACAGGTCGATGCGCCTGAGCCGCGTAGGCCGTCCAACGAAGGCGCCGGCCGGCGGGCTGTACATAGGGGAGGGGCGGACCAGGGGGCCCGGGCGGATGACTCATCTCGTTGATGTATCATGTACGGCGGGCGGGGAACGGGGTGGTGGAAGCGTGCACGGCCAAGGGTCCCGCAATAGCGCCCTCGGCCCGAACGAGGGGGGGGAGCGTCCGTGTGTGCTGTGTGTACTTTCAGTAGGTTCGCTGGGCATCGCTGGGCGTCAGGAAATAATATTTACTGCATGCACCAAAGCGGTGAATGCTCGCACCAAATCACGTGCACAAAATGTCCTAACCTCAGTTTTAGGGTTAGGGTCAGGGTTAGGATTAGGGCAGGCTTAGGTTTAGGTTTTAGGGTTTAGGATTCAGATTCGGTAGAGGAAGATGTTATGTCGATTTTGGTATATTAAGCATCAACTTAATGATAAGCATAGACACTCTCCCCCCCTCCCCCCCCCCCTCCGTTTCTCTTCACTGCGCCATAGATTCTTATACAGAGGTGGACGAGGCAGACAGGCCTTCAGCAGGGCAAGCTCCGAATGCTATTGTTGCGGCGGGGATTTCAGTCTGCGGGGGGCAATTGACCTCCGATGGTAGCCCTACGGCCACCATCGAAGTGATCTGCAATGCCACCTACGTGGCCTCTATGGTTCCACTAAGAAAGTCTTAGTGAATGCTTACCATGCTGCCGGCTTGCGTGGAAACTCCTAAGATACGAAGCCCGAGCTTATCGCACGTTTGACGGTGCATTACGAGGTTGTCGCGGCCGATGGGCGCCGCGATGGATCAGATCTTGGGGCCTCTCTGTTATGCACATAGGCTTCATGTGGGGGACGCCCTACTACGGTCTCTTGGTGTGTGTGGGGCCCTACCCAAGATATAATAACAGTACCCGAACTAGACCATATATTATTATACGATATGGGAGTAGGCCGGGGTGGTCCTGCCTAGGTCCCCGTAAGGACCTAGGTGCCCGGCGAGGCGGGGTCCATAGCTTAAAGAGGGCAGGTGCCCCATACCACTAACGTTGTTGTATCATTTGGTTCTAGAGCCACCTAGAGGTGTGTTATGCTTTCGTCTTCAGACCAGTATTTTAGACTTTCCGTAGAGAAAGCCTTGTTGGACCAATCTACCTTAGGTAGGGTTCGAGCTCACGGCAAGGTGGACCAATTTCAGCGTTCGCCACAACGCCTCATCAACACCCTTGTATTGGAGTTCTCCCATGGGTATTTATACCTTATTTGCTATACTTGGTTATTGGCGTGGTTTTCGGTGTGTTCGCGGGCGATGCGCCCGATGGGGCCGTGCGGCCCCCTCCGCCGGATGGCCGGCGGGCCTTGCGGGGCGCTCGTCTTGTTCGGATGCGCAGTGTGGGCCCAGGCCTGCGGAATGGCTGGGCGAGGGGTGGCCGTACACGCAGTGGGTGCGCGCTAGAGGTGGCCATTCAAGGGTGCCATCCAGTCCGTTAAATCCGGTTCGTTAATTTTTATCAGCTGTCCGTTAAATTTCGTTAAAGAAAAAAGGAGAAAAATTCAGAAAAAATAAAAAGAATCCAAAAAAATCGAAAAAAAACCCAAAAAATCACAACAACTGCGGCTAGTTGAAAATCTAGTATGCATAGGTTGAAATAAAATACAAACATACTCTCTAATAGCGAATTCCATAAACTATAAGTATGACTAAAACCCAAAAATCCCTAAAAATTCCAAAAATCCGCTAATTTTTGGTTAATTTTTGTCTTTTTTCGTTATTTTCCGTTAATTAACGGAAAATTAACGGAAATTAACCTCTGTCCGCTATTAACGGATCCGGGTGGCCACCTCTAGTGCGCGCGGCGCCTTGCGGCCTGCGGGTGCAGGCGCTGGGAGGTGAGTAGGCACGAGTGGAATTACAGGCTGACGTGCGGGGTCGGTCACATGACCCCCGCACGCAGCGGTACACAATGATTGTGTACCGTACTGTCGATTATCGACAGAACAATGTATGGAATATACCCGTATCGATAGTATCTCATCCCCGAGTACGGTAGGGGCCCAACCTGAAGTACTGGAACTTCTATAAGCCATAACTCCTCCGCTAACCCGTTTGGGATGATTCAAAGACCTATGGAAAGCTAATAGCCTCCTCTATCCCATCTAGGTATAATCGCATGTCAATTATCATTTACCAGTGAATAATTGGAGTAAACCGGTTACCCCCTAGTAGTTTACACAACAGTACTCCCCCCTGGGGGTAGTTTCGCCCTCGAAACGTCTAAGCGAAACCCAATGGCCTAGTTGTCCTCAACAGGCCGGTCCCTTTTGATCATCTTTTTGAGTTCTTCTGGGTAAGTGAAGTTCTCCTCTGGAGTCCAGGTAGCGTCGTCCAATGAATAATCTTTCCAGGGCACTAAGTACTCTTTGCGCCTCCTAGAACTGGGTCCTGCCCACCGCCAACGCAGTAATTTCTTGACATCGTACAGCTCATCCTCTGCGGGCTCTATGTCCTCAATCTGACCCTCCTGAGTAGGGTGCGCCCACTGGCTGGTTCTGAAAGGACGCAGTAAGTTGATGTGGAATATATTGTGAATCTTCCACTTCTCAGGGAGGTCGAGTTCGTAGGCCACTGTTCCCACCTGAAGAACCATAAAGAAAGGCCCAACGAATCGCCTCTTCAGCTTACGGATAGGTGCATTCTTCAAGTTCAAATGCTCAGTCGATAGCAGCACCTGATCCCCACTACTCAGCCTCAGTTCCCTTCATTTGTGGTCAGCTTGGGACTTCATTCTGTCTTTGGCCCGATTCAGAAATTTTAGAGCCATTGAGAAATTCCTTTTGATTCGGTCCACAAACTGGTTAACCCCTTCAATCATGGTGGAGTCGTGATCCCGGATAAGGTCCATGGGTGTACACGGATGGAAGCCGTAGTTCAAATAAAACGGCGTGTACCCCGTGGCCTGCATCGGACTATTGTTGAATCAACAATAGTCCGACTGATCAGATCACGAATTCAACAGTAGACAACATTTTCTCCCAGTTCGACCCCTCCTGCCCGGCATGCAAAGTACAGCGCAGGACCATCTCAACCACCCTGTTCATCGCCTCAGTTTGACCATCTGTCTGAGGGTGGTATGCGCTGGACATCCTCAGAGAGCTTCCCAAAATATTCCATAGTTCTTTCTATAATTTGGATATAAACCGTGGGTCTCTGTTGCTCACAATAGAATGTGGGATCCCATGAAGTTTTTCTACTGTAGTCCAATAGACACGGGCAGTGTCAACAGCATTGATTGTCTGCTTGACAGGTGCAAGGTGCACCATCTTGGTGGCCCTGTCTACGATAGAGGTGGCCACCCGGATCCGTTAATAGCGGACAGAGGTTAATTTCCGTTAATTTTCCGTTAATTAACGGAAAATAACGAAAAAAGACAAAAATTAACCAAAAATTAACGGATTTTTGGATTTTTTGGGGATTTTTGGGTTTTAGTCATACTTATAGTTTATGGAATTCGCTATTATAGAGTATGTTTGTATTTTATTTCAACCTATGCATACTAGATTTTCAACTAGCCGCAGTTGTTGTGATTTTTTGGGGTTTTTTCGATTTTTTTGGATTTTTTTCGTTTTTTCTGAATTTTTCTCCCTTTTTCTTTAACGGAATTTAACGGACAGCTGATAAAAATTAACGAACCGGACTTAACGGACCGGATGGCATCTTTGAGTGGCCACGTCTAGTCTACGACAGTAAGAATCCCGTCGTTCCCGTTCTCTGATTTTGGAAGACCCATTATCGGCTTCCCTTCGGGCCCCCGCCGTCGCGAGGGGGCCTCCGATGCGCATGGTGGTTAGCCGCTCCATGCTTCGCCTCCGCCGGGTCTGAATCGTCGGACTGCGCACGCTGGGCACGGCGCTCGTGGCGGTATGCTCGGGGACAGGCGAGCTCGCGGGCTCCGCCGGGCAGGTCGGCCGAGGTCGCGGGGTCAGGTCGCGGGCGCAGTTTGCTTGCGTGAGAAAGGATCATTACTACACTGCACTCACCACATAAGTACGGTGGTAAGCTCGCGGGCCACCGGTGCGGAAAGAATCCGTGTCATGGCACCCACACCAGTGCCTTAGTGTGTTGTCATTGTACCCATACACTTTATAATCTGATAATAAATGTCTTAACCGTTCATAATCTGATAATCACTCCCCCTTTAAGTATTTTCGTCCCAAAAATCAAATCATGAACCACCACTCGATCCACCCGTGTTCTCTATTAACAAGCTTTCGTGCAAAATGTCGGTAAGAGGGTCACAGAAAACAACAAAACGTGCATTTTGCGCACAGGCAAAATGCAAGAAAAATGCCACAACAACGAACTTACGCACAAACAGAGCATTTTTTGGGTTACCCAATGGACAAGAAAACCACAATATTGCGCACAAAAAAAGCCCACCTTTGCGCGCGCCGCGCGCGCAAACACAGGCAAAAATCGCTGGGTCTACTGCGTCAATGCACGGGGTCGGTGGTGGGGGGGAAGCGAAACCCGTGTTGTACATGTTTTTTTTGTAAAAACTTTCTTAAGCTTGTG